GTGGGTGTCTTGTTTTTTGAGGGAGGGTTTCCTGGCTGATTTTTCTCCTGTGTTTTTATCTCTGAGGCCAAATGGTTTGGAAGCAGGAGACTTCATCACAGGTCCAGTGTTAGCAGGGATGGGGCTACTATGAAACTGTTTGACTTGTTCTTGAGTCTTCAGTCAATTGTATAGTCTTCTGCTGAAATTAGGTTTCTTTGATAAAAGAAAAAAGCATAACAAATTATTGTTGTTTTTAGCTTATTGTCTATTCAGAGAGCCAAGGATGCTGGCATCTACTTGATTCTGGCAACAACAGGGCATTTCTCACTTTTTCCATTGTTGTTCACAACACCAGGTAAAATGTTCTTCTGTTAGTTAATTTTTATACAGTTTGCAACATTGAGCTCAATAGTCTTGATTGATTTGGTTGTCATTTTTGCTTTAGTCACTTCCCAGTTGTTTGTGTTTTCTTTAGGAAAGGAAAATCTTATTTGTAGTGCTTTCTCAAATAGTAATTATAATTTATGTGTTCAGTATGTTTATAGATAGTTGAAGTAAGTGTATTGCAAATGCTTGGTGTTTGCTTTAGTAAATGTTTGTACTTATTTTTACGTATCCTAAGCAGTAAAACGTGTAGGTCTGGAGAAAATAAAGCCAGATAATGCAAATGTGACTAGTAAGATTTAAAGACACTACAATATATATATGGCAAGAGCTTTTTATAATTAATTTTAAAAATACATAACGTTCTTTGTTTTTCAGAACTTCCAATTAAAATACTGCTTATGCTGTTGTTTACTGTTTATAGCTTCTCGTCATTGAAATCTCTGTTCAGGTAATTAAAGAAATTTGATCTCAGTGCCAGGAACAACGTTTCTTCTGGTGTTGGGAACAGCCATTGTCATAAGGGACAAACAGCACAGAAAACTGATGCTGAAGAGTCAAATTAAGACGTTACTAGTCAAAAGATGCTGCTGCCTCTGTTCTCAGGAGGCAATGCTTAAATTAGGATAATTGCAGCACATCCTGGTTATTGTGACAGCTGCCCAGTTAGTCCCAGGAGGCTGTAGATCCCCACCTGCCTCATGCTTTCTTAAAGCTTGGAGTTGTGATGCTGTAACCTCTGAGAATTTCATTTGGTATTCTAGCATTTACAACAGTGATTTGTCTGCTGATTGTTTCTCTTATTGTACTGTGGATTTTTTCAGTAGTAGTTAGTATTTTAATGTGTGGAAAGGACAGGTTGTAAATAACATTCATTTGCAAGCTGTAATTTGTCAACAAAGCCACAAGTATTTGGCTGGCAGAACATAGAATTGCCTAAGTCACCCTGTGTAGTTTCACAGCCTGTGGATCTCTTACCGCTTGGCCAAAGATAGTGCTTAGTTATAACCCCTGCAGTCCCCACTTCCCTCTTTCCCAAACTTTTCAGGGCAAACCCGAGCTGTAACGAAGTACTGTAAACAAGTATTCAGTACTTCAGACACCTGCTTTTGTAGGTGATTTTCTTTATTTAAGAATTCAGTCATTCTGTCTCAAGAGCTCTAGCTAAAAACCTCATAGGAGCTTAGTTTTTGTTAAGAGAGGGGACTTTTGCAAGTTTCTGGGATTTTAAATTGCCATGAAAATTCCCTTTAAAATATGAAATTCCCTTTAAACTACCTGAAGTAAACTCCTGCTATCAGTGTCCTTTGCAAGAGAGATAGCTCACATAAAAGTCCATCCTACAGAAAGCTTGGGGGAAGAAGTTAAAAAAATCTGACATTTCCAGTCTTTGGTTGTAGAACAACTTTGGTGGAACAAGTCTTTGTATGAAGGGCTGTTCAGTTGTCCACTGAAAGCCCAGTGAGGTGAAGCGGAACAATTGATGAGGTTTCTCCTTAGGCTTCCAAGGCATCCTGGAACTTGATAAGGACATTGAGCTGTACTCTTGGTTATCACACTATTTTTTTCCTACTGAAACTCTTTAACTTGCTATTTAAACCATTATTGCAGTCTAATGGGAGATTCTCTTTGCATTGGGATAGCTGAAAAACAGAATAGTTATTTTTAGTTAACATATATTTTAATGGTACCTCTTTTTTTATTTCTCTGACAGGAGAGAGAAACCTCTACTTAACTGGCTTGAAACAATCTACCTCATCCAACTAGTGCCCTTGGAAATCTTCTGTGAAATCATATTTCCCCTGACCCCCTGGAAACGGCACTTCCCTTTTGTCCCCCTGTTGCTGACCTCGGTGTACTGTGCTCTGGGAATCACATACGCTTGGCTGAAACTCTACGTCTCTGTCTTGACTGAGAGAATTCCTGTCAGACAAAAGGCTGAGTAAAGCCACAGTGCTGGGACCAGTCCTAGGACACCCCTTGGAGGGGATTCCTGGCACGGTGAGGGGTTGTCACAAGGCCATCCGAGACGAGACACGGTGTACGTGTGCCATTGCCACATGGGAGCTCTTCTTCCAACACTCCTGTGCTGCCCAACGAGGATACCTCTGATCAGAAGCTCTGTCACAGTGACGGGAGGGCTGCGGGTAAACTGAAGCTTAACAAGGTCCAGACTTCTGGCCTGAGGAAAACCTGCCTGATTTTCCCGTTATGGTTCGTATTTGAATAGAAGTTGCTGCGGCGGATTACAAGGGATGATTGCTATGTAGGAGAGCATTGTAACTGTGTTCTATGGAATTTGTAAATTAAAAACTTGGTATTTTTTGTCTGAGCATTTCTTGCCTTATTTCTGTTCCTGTCTAAACCCTGCTTTTGAGGGACACACACACAACTAAGTGTGTAGCTGGAAACTTGTCCTGAGGTGCTTTGTCAAACTCTTGCACACTCAAATATCAAATTTTAATATGTCCATGTCATGTTGATATCCTTGTTTCATAGATACTTTGCAAATAGGCTGTCATATTCTTCTAGTAGCTGTTTTTTTGTAGACCAGATGACCAAATTGAGGCATGCTACTAAAATTAAGAAGTATTTTAATGCTATTAAACATACCCGATAATGTGGCTGCATTAGCTGTATTTGTAATTCATGTAAAATTCTATAACTCTTAACAAAAGATCAAGTGTCCATGGTTCCTGTAATGACTTAAGGAAAAGGTAGATTGTTTTCTGCCTCTGTGGAATCATGTTCCTCAAAGAATAGCAGTTATTTCTGCAGTAAATAATTATACCTTTTAAACTCTACATAACCATCCCTAGAAGATGTTGTTGTGATGTTGGGGTCTAATTTGAACTCCAGTGCTGACCTAAAAATGGGAGGAGAGAGGGATGGATTTTTTTATTACTACTATTACTATTTTTGACAGTAGTTTCTGAACTTTCTTCTATGTTAGGTGAAGTATGGGACCCCTTCATCAAGGATAGCCAAGGGGATTGTAATGCTGTTTTAGTTCTTTGAATATTTGGGGTGTTTAAAATAGTGACACTTGTTAGGGCAACAGGTAAATTAATCACTCTGGATGTTTCTGTAAACAAATTCTTTGTACATTTAAAGTTTTCACTGCCAATGATTTTATATTCAAGACATTCTCACTCTGGTTTTCATTATTTTCTCACAGTTTCTGCTTTTTTTACACTATGAAGGGCTTTGCCATGTTTTAGCTGCTGTGGCTGCCAGTGGTGCCACAATGCTTCTCGCACCTGTATTTTATCTCAGCTCCAAGCCTCAAAGCTCTGCCCAGGGCTAGGCATCCACAGTGCTTGTGTTTATCTGTCTACTGGGCTGTCCTGTGTAGGGAAATGGTGATATGCAAAAATATGCTCTTCTCCAGCCGTGCCTTTGCACATCTTGAAATCCGAGAGGCCGCACAGCAAAGCTGTGGGTATGCCATCCCTGGGAGTGTTCAAAGCAGGGTTGGATAGAGCAGCCTGGTCCAGTGGAAGTTCTCCCTGCCTTTGGCAGGGTGTTGGGAGTATATGACCAGTTAGTCCCTTCCAACCCAAACTAGTTAGTGATTCTGTGAAGTTAAACCTGTGACTGGAAGTGGCTGTACATCATCATTGTATGATCCCAGGTTCAACTGAAGTGTCTCCTGCTGCAGAGCAGCAACTGCCCAACCTCCTCTGTGTGGATGTCTGGAAAATCCACAAACCCCAGCGGTTTATGTCCAAAAAGGAGACAGAGGAGTCCTTCAGCTTTATTTGAATAAAGGGGAAGAGCCCACTGGGGCACACACTCGCGGTGTTTTCTCTCTCCAGGTTTCGGGGGTGCAGCCTCCCTTGATCCTAAACTCCCGGCCGCAGGTTTCCCCCTTCCTTTCCCCACTGCTGAAGCATTAGGAAGGTACAGCCTTCCCGAGCTGCCTACCACATCTTCCCCACCTTGTACCTTCTGTTTTACCCCAAAGCTCAGGAATTCAGGCTTGTGCAGACCTGGGTCTGTTTCAGGAGCCAAGGTGTCAGGGCTCTGCAACAAACCTGCTGCCCTAAGCCAGCAGAGACATTCAGACCCCTTTCAAAGATGTTAACACCCATACCTTCACCCATCAAACTGTGTAAAGACATGAGCTTTCCTTTCATGGACAAAGGCTAAATAATACGCTTTGAGGAAAGAGGCTGAGAAGCCTTTGGGAGCTGTGATGTGTTTTGTTAATGCAGGTTTCTTCAGCGGTTCCGTCTATCCTGCTACAGTGGCAAATTACTTAATGTGAATTCGTTTTAGTTAAACCCGAAAAAACTAATACTATGTGTTAGGTCTCAGACTTTAATCTGAGCTCTTAAAATTAATTAATTAATTAACCCCCTAATTTACTTCTCGGCCGGCCTCGCTAGCCCTGCAGCGGGGCCGCCTCACCCAGTGGGGTTAGGGCTGATAGAACCCCCTCCTCGACCCGCTTAAGGCCGCTCAGCCTGAGAGTTTGGGATGGGTTTGTGGGATTTGTGGGAGCTGGATTTGTGGGATTTGTGGGAGCTGGCTTTCGGGGCGGTGTTTTGGTAAAATAGCCATAGGCGGGGAAGGCGGCGGAACGAGGGAGCGCGGCGCGGGCCGGCGGGGGAAGGCGCAGCCGCCGCACCGCTCCCGCGGGCACCTTGGGCGGCGGCAGCCATGGCGTTCCTGCCCGACGAGTCGCGGGCGCTGCCGCCGCCGCCGCTCCTCAACAAGGGCTCGGTGTGGCTCGGGTTCGTGGGGTGGATGTCGGCGCTGATGGACAACGCCTTTAACCAGCGCCCCATCTTCCGAGCCGGTGCGGGGGGACGGGGGGAGCCTGAGGGGAGGGGGAACGGAGCGGGTGCGAGGGAGGGCGGAGGTGAGGGGCTGGGCTGTGCGGGGTTTGGGGTCACTGAGGGATCAATGAAGGGGGAAGGCGAAACAGCGAGGAATGAGGGACTGGAGAGGAAATGGGGGCGGACGGGCGGATTTGGGGTGACCTTGAGGGTGACGGGGGCTGGGGCTGGGGAGGAAGCCCCAAGATCCGAGGCTAGAGGTGATAAAGGGAATATGGGGGCCTGGGAAGGGGGGGTGCCACTGAGGGGTAAATGAAGTGAGGAGGGGAAGAGAGGGAGCCCTGGAGGGAAGGGAGTTCTCTGTGTGACTGTGGGAATGGGAGCCAAGGGGTGGGAGCCCCGAAGTGAGGGAGCTGGGGGATTGGGAGGGGCTGGGAAGGGGACATGGTTTGGAGGTGGAGGGGATCTGAGGTGACTCCCTGAAGGGGGTGGGTGGTGGGAAGGGGAAGGAGCCCTGAGGAAAGGGGGGCCTGGCAGGGGCCGTGGGAGCTGTGGGTGCTGTAGGGACCTTGTCAGGGGCGAAGCAGGGAGAGAGGAGTGTCTGGGGGGTCTGGGGGAAGCGGGGCCCTGCGGGGAGCTGGGAGACGTGGGGACAATGCCTCTCTCCTCCTGCTGCAGGTATTCACCGGCAGGTCCTGTTAGCCAGCCTGGGATACTTTGTTGGCTACCAGCTGGTGAAACGCGCAGAGTACGTGCATGCCAAGGCAGACAGAGAGCTCTTCGAGTACATCAGGCACCACCCGCTGGACTTCCAGTCACCAACAGGTACACTCACCTGGTATTTTAGCAGAGACCTCAGCCTGCCATAACCTGTGTGCAAAGATTTTGCTGGGCTAAGGCTTCCCGGTTCCTTCATGGTCTAAATTGCAGCAATCTAAAGGATTTTCTAATGTGAAAATAGATGCTGTTACCGAGCTGTTGTTCTGCATCGATGACCGCCTCTTCCTCCTAAAAGCTCATTTTAGTATAAAAGTAGCAGAGCAAGAGAAAAAAAAAAAAAAAGGACACACCAAACTTGTACCATTGAAGAAGAAATAACGGAAATTAGAAATCGTAGATTTTATTCTTGTAACTTCACAATTGTACTGTCTATTCCTGTAAAATGCCTGTTGCATATAGATGCCGAAATTTCATTATGAATATTCAGAAAACAAGCAGAACTGGTGAAAAAAGAATAAATAGGAATGGCAGGAAACCTGAATTGGTGTTAGCTTAGAGCAATGGTGAAGTTACAAGAATAAAATCTACGATTTCTAACGATGCAATGGCAAATTTAGGTAAAAATTGTCCATTTTCCAGTACAATAGAGTTGGGTGACTCTGGTTGTTGGATTGTGGTCTGTATCTGCCATATTGGAAGGAGTATGTAGAAATAAAAAACTGTTACTACTGAGATTCCTCCACGGGGACCTGTGGAGAGCTGTATGGGGAGAAAATAAAAAAACTGTGCCTTTAGTTACAAGAGCAAGCTAATAATTTGCTGTGGGTAGCAAAAATCAGGTTTTTGGTGGCTTTGTTGACATCAAAGATTTAATATGAAACATCTTCCACATCGATCTCAAATGCTGATTAGGTTTTCCCGCCTCTTGCAGAAAAGAAAAGAATAGGGCAGCTCTTGGAGGATTTCTACCCAATTCGCTGAGTGGTGACACAACACAGAAAGAATTCCTGCCATCCTGAGAACTTCAGCAAGGTGGCTGCAACTCTTGAACCGTCCATGGCTAAAAAGATGAAACTTTACTCACTTTCATGTAATAAAAGCTTCATTAAATAGTTATTGTTTAATTATTTGCTCTTCTGTTCCTTTATGGTTTGTCAGAACGTAGATTACTGATATTTGTAACAGAATAATAACTTTCATTAATGTTTTTTTCAGTTCTTTTAATTGCAAGAATGGCAAGTTGTTCACAAAACATATATTGTATAAAACCCAGAGAGCAGATCTGTAAGTTGATATTTTTTATTTCTCAGTAGCAGTTCTCCTGACCTTTGAACATGTTCTTGGCCAGCCCCTGTTGATGCTGTACCCAAAGTCTCGCTGTGACGTTCTTTCTGAACAGCAAACAAAATACATGCTCTCCCTACTTAATTCCATCTCCGTGTTTTTTATTATTATGTTGATTTTTCTTTGCTCATAATAAGGATTCAACCTTTCTGTTTTCTCACTTGGTTGCTGGCTCCTGAATCCAAACACTGACCATATTTGGGGGTGAAGAGGTTGTGTTGATTTGGGATTTGGGAATCCTTACTCATTTAGCATTTTGGGTCAAAACTGGGCTTTATCTCTTGTCTTCCTCACACTGAGCCCTGTCCCATGTCACTGCTCTCTCGTGGATATGATGTCTCTAAACAGATTTAAAAGAAGCACTGCCACTCTGATTTGCTTGAACAATCTGGAAGAAGAAGAACTTTCCCCGTGCTGGCCAGCAACAGTGTGGGTGCCCTGGGAGCCTGTCCAGGGCAGCACAGAGCCAACACCCCCTGCCACAGATGCCAGATCTGCCCTGTCTGCCAACATCCCACTGGGACCAGTGCAGAAAGCTCTTACCAGCTGTGGCCAGCAGCAGTGGCCAGCAGCAGGGCCCCGTCAGGCCGTGGCGCAGCCTGGGCAGCGTGGTGCAATCCCTGCAATCAGAGCAGGCGGGATATTCCTGTGACACACCGGGCTCAGGGCCAGCTGGAGGGACAGCGGCTCTCAGAGACAGACCCACGGGTCCTGGGGGGATGCAGGCGGCCCACAACACGTCAGCAAGCCCTTCCAGCTGCCCCAGGTCACGGGCCTTTGGGGACATCCTGCGTCTCCCCCTGGTCCTGTTCAGCAGCCGTGGTCAGTGCCTTGCCCCGTGTCCTGCTTGGACACTCCCTGGGGCACCACGAGCCTCTGCAGCTGCTGAGCGCTGCCCAAGCCCAAAGCCATCGCTGCAGTGACTGCAGGTGTCCCTCGCTGTGACACCAGCAGGGTTACACCTCAGCCGGGGGTGTAACTCACTGCCCCACCAGCAGGATCAGAGAGAGAATCAAGGGCAGGAACGAGAAAAGGCGTGGGCTGAACCAAAGCCAATGTAATAGGGAAAGCAAAAGCCATGCATGCAAACAGAGCAAAGCAAGGAATTCATTCACCGCTTCCCATGGGCAGGTGGGTGTTCAGCAGGACTGCAGGGTCCATCACAGGTAATGGTGACCTGGGAAGACAAAGGCCATCATTCCAAGTGTGGCTCACCTCTTCCTCCTACTTTATATACTGATGACATATGGTCTGGAACATCCCTTGGGTGGGCTGGGATGAGTTATCCCACCAGTATCTCCTCCCAAGTTTCCATGTGCTGCAGTCCCCTCACCACAGTGGCAGAACAGAAACAAGAAAAGAAAATTAACTCCACCCCAGCCTAAACCAGCACAGCCAGCCGTGTTCTCCAGGGGACACAGATCCCACCCTTGAGCAACAGCCAGACAGAGCACCAGAGGGACATTTCCCTGTCTGTGGTCCCCTCCCCACCAGGGACCAGTCTCCATCCATTCCTTATGGTTCAACAGCTGCCTCTGCAATCAGCATGGAGACTGAAGATCTCAAAAGGAAGAGCTCCATCATGCCCCAGCCAGAGGTGCCACTGCAAAGGCAATGGCCCAGGTCTCTCCCAGTATGCCCCTCACGCTCCATTTCCTCTGGATAAGACAAGGCTGCAAATTTGCCCAGGCTGGGGAGAGACATGGAGAGCAGATCAGCTCTGAAATTCTCACTCTGTTGGGAGGGAAATGTGTTTGCCATTATTTGGGAAAATTAATAGTCTGGCAGTTGTTTTCCTGGAAAAGCAGAACTTCATGGTACTGGTGCAGTGAGCTCCTTGCGTCTCTATGGCCACAGAACTGATGTTTGGGCAACTGTCCTCAGCTAACCAACCTCCTGGGGAGCCCACCTAGGGCCACAGCTAAGGAGGGGGAAAATGTCACCTCATGTATCTCCACATGAACCCATGTCTTCCCCAGTGCCTCCTGCTGACACATCTCCCATGACTCTGGTTGTCCCAAACCCCTCAGAACTGTCCTTGTCCTCCCTAGAACCTGGCCAGGACCCTTTCAGAGAGGGCATTTCTGGGTCTGTCCTCAGCTGCCCCTTCCAGAGCCCCCAGTCCCCTCAGCAGTTCACACAACCACAGCTGGCTGGAGACCCTGTCCCTGCTGCCCAGGCTGGGGCAGGACAAGGCAAAGCCAGAGAGGTGTCAGCAGCTGAGAGAAAATGCCTGATCAGGAGAGAGAAGATTGGGATCTCCAGTGTGTCCCAAATCTGGGATGTCTGGACATGGAGCTGGGGTCTTGAGGGAGGTGAGATGTATTGAGACCTGAGCTCTGCTGCCCCTCACTGTTGCCTGACTGGGCTGAGTGTTGGGCAGATTCACCCATTTTGCGCACAGCAATCAAGCATCAGCTTTTGTGGGGTTGGAGACAAGAAAAGGAAGAAACATTTTAGCCTGAGGCTAGTACCACAAAGGAACATGTTGCCAGTGTCTTTGCACAGGCCCTGAGGTTGGACACAGTTCTGAGCCACATGGTCTAGTGCAAGATGGCCCAGCACACAGCAGGCCATTGCACTAGGTGGCCTCTGAAGATCCCTTCTAACCCAAACAATCCCATGAATTTGGGATCCTTTGTCCCTTTCAGATTCCCCAGCATTGCTGTGGAAAGATCCCACCCCACAGAGCCAGTGTCCCCCTGCCCCTCCCTGGGGCACTCCATGAGTGAAAGCAGCACACTGACTACGCTGGATTCCCAGGGATTCTTTTATTAGCAGAAACAGGGGGAAATGCCCTTGGAGTCCAGGTACCAGCTGGAAAAGGGCTTAACAAACTCAAGGGAATGTTGGAGGTTGGGCCCACATCACAACATTCCCAACTTCCTGCCACTCCTTGAAAATAAAGAGCAGACTACGAGCCTGCAGCTCTTCCAATGGCCTTCCCAGCACAGCCAGAGGCTTCTTCCTATGAGGATAAGGCACCATCTGGTTCTGCCGTGGTCACAACCATCTCCGGAGTCGGTGCCAGGGCCGGGAGATCCCATCAGCTGCCACGGAGTGGGGAATGCCAGCGAGGCTAGGGAGAGCCTGCAGTGCTCAGCGACGGGGACGTCTTGTGCTTCCTGACACCAGTGCCGGTCCTGCAACAGCAGCATTCCTTAACTCCAAGGCTCATGCCAGGGGGACACAGCACCCTCAGCCCTGAAGCCCTGCAGTCTCTGCACAGGGCAATGGGACGGGTTCCCTCCTGCAGCATGGAGAGGGTGATCCAGCCCCAGCTGAGGGGACAGCCCCCATTTCAAGGCCCTTCCCAGCAGGTCCCCAGCCCTGCACTCTTGGGCACCTCTCCCAAGAGGGAGGCCACCCACTGCCTTGCTGCCCCTGGACTCTGCATGTCCCCAGCTCTTACCTGGCGGCCAGGACAGGGTCACCAGCTGGGCTGCCCCTCGCTGGGGCTGATCTGCTCCAGGATCTGGCTGTACCTCCGGGTCAGGGCGTTGGTGTCCCTGGTGAGGTGGGTGAGGACCTGCTGCAGCCCAGTCAGGTGGTGGGACAGGCGCTCCTCGAGCTGGGCATCCTCGGCCTCGTTGCTGTCCGAGGATGTGTCCACGTCGGCGTCGGCACCGCTGGGGCTCTGGTCAGCGACAGAGGCCAGGCCTTTCTCCACCATGGGCTTGATGGCCTTGAGGAGCTGGTAGCGCTCGTAGAGGTCCGTGCGGCTCTCTGCAGCCGGGGCTGCCCCCTCCTGCTGCGGGAAGACCCCTCGGAGCAGGCTGGGGAACATCACCTCCCGCTCCATCTTCTGCGTGGCTGAGAAGTACTGCTCCATGGCCCTTCTGCTGCTGCTCTGGCAGTGCTGCTCTGGGCTCTCCTGACACTGTCACCTGCTCCCTGTCCCTGCGGGGGCTTTTTATGCACTGCTGGGGCACGTCCCTCCCCTGCTGTCCTCCCCTGCCACCCCGGTTGGGCTGGATGGCCTTGGGGTGGGGCTTGGCTCCAGCCCAGCCGGGGCTCGGCCCTGCAGTGTCCCTGGCTCTGTGCAATCTTTCCTGGCCCAGGCTCCCCGTGACCTTCACCAGAGCTGGCCGGGGGTCCTGCTGCTTCCCCATGCCAGGAACTGCGGGGGTAGCAAGGAGGAGAGGTGCCCAGGGCCTCTCCCATTCTGTCCTGGATTATCTCAAATCCCAATGCGACCAGTTCTGGAGCCCTCTGGGTGTGGGTCCAGCTCCTGCCCCCAGTTTGGGAAGGCTGCAGGGGACTGTCACCTCCCCTTTTTCCTGCTGCCATGCACTCAGGATTTGACCATGCCAGGGATATTGATCAACTCCTTTAGCACAGAGAAATCAGGAACACTCTGGAAATTCACTGGAGCCCTTTCCCAATGGCTCTCATGGGACAATGGAGACTGCCGGTGTCCAGAGATTTGGGTGCCCAGGAACATCCAATGCCCCCAACTTCCCCCTGATCTCAGCAGGGATGTGGACAGGGACAGGGACCTGACTCCATGATGTGTAATTCCTGTGGCAGCAGCACAGAGCCATTGCTGCTCCCATGGGATTGTGGACATGGGTACCCTGCCATGGTCATAATTCTGGGAGAGCAGAAGCCACAGTCAGGGCAGCAGCCAGCATTGCCTGTCCCTGCATGTCCCTGTGGCGAGTGGCAATAAGGGAAAGTGATTATATTTGGGGAAAGGCTGTGGGGTACCTGGTTCCTTTTGCAGCCCTTGGTGCTGACAGCTCTCCCTCTGTCCCCCTGTGTCCCAGCCAGGTGCCCG